CCCATGTACAACGGGACGAAACGCTGCCCTGTCGTGCGCCACCTTCACAATCGCTGTTATGCTTGAGCCCATTGTTACAGCCGCTGTGTCAATCCATCTTCTCGAGGGTCTTCCTCTTTTTCACGGACTCTCCGCTTTATCAAGCATGATGTCCGTTTTGGTCCTCTGATAACCCGTCCAAATTAAGCGAGACAAAGTCTCACCATCTTTGCTTCTAAGGAGCATTCTGGCTATCCCTCTTCCAAGACAGATCTGTTCGTTCTTCTGGCAGTCCATGGTCTAGTCAACGTTCTTCGCCAACACCAAAATTCAAAGGCGTCAGTTCTTCTTGGGTCTTCGTTTTTCATTGTCCAGTTCTCATATTACATGAGAGGATGAGTCACCAGGAATTACCGTCATCATGGATATAACCAGCCATTAGTGGAACACTGCATCTCTACCAGGAATTTTCCTAAGCTCATTACCTGCATTGACATATTTACTTTTCACAAGCACCCTATGAAGGAGGTGATATTATTGTCACCATTTCACAGATGAGGAAACTGAGGCACAGGGCGGCGATGTAACTTGTCTGTGCTCTGTGTCCACCATGTTCTTATCCACCAGTCTGTCTCCGAGGGGGAGTGCTAGCACTGATAATTGTGTGAAAGAAAATTGGCATCCATGGGCGGTGATCGTTGTGAAGGGTTCACGAAGCTCGGTAGTGCAATGGTTAGGTGCTTGGCTGCTAACCGAGCTGGTTCTAACCCACCAGGCATGCCACGGGAGAAAAGATCTGGTGATCTGCTCCCATAAAGATTATGGCTTACGAAACCCTATGGGGCAGTTGTACTCGGTCCCATAGGGTCACTGTGAATCCAGATCAACTTGACGGCACACAACAGCAACAGCAACAGCGTGGTTACTACTCCCAAGCCATGATGTCGATAGGATTGAAAATTAGAAAGCACAAAGCCCTCTCCCACTTGTTTCCATCTGAAGAAAGCATCCGAGATGCATTCGTTTTCCTTTAAGAGGTCAAGTCCTTGGCATCCTTGGCGTAAACCAGTCTTGCTTTCTTCCACGTGTCTGTGCCACTTCATGGCAGGACGCGGCATGGATATGCCTCGATGGAGAACCAGCTGATGGGCCTGGCTCTCATGCTTTAGGTCAGTGGCGAGAACATTCACCCCCCACCCCTTCTTCCTCCTCTGTCTTAGGGTCACTCTTTAGTTAGAGAGGCTTGTTCCACACTGTTATCAGGGCCAATCTCAGCTCTCAGGTAGGAAAGTTCCATGGCTAAGCCTCGTTAATAATAAGATTCTACTTCCAGTTCTTGCCTGCCTTCTTTCTGAAAGTACTCAACTGAGTGTATTGAAAGATGAAGGGTGGGCACTCTGGAATAATTGATACTCACCCACAGCCCTCTTTCAGTTTTCCTCACCAGAGTGACCTTATTTTTTTGAAGGCCACTTATGCCGTAGCTCACAAAGCCTTTTGTCAAATGGCACCCATCAGATGGCAGCCACAGGTATTTGAATCCTCAGGCCTGACCACCTCGTTACCGGAATAAAACAACAACAAATTAGTTGCCATTGAGTCGACTGACTCACAATGAGCCCATGTGTGTCAGAGTAGAACTGTGCTCCACAGGGTTTTCAAGGGCTAAGTTTTCAGAAGCAGATCGCCAGGCCTTTCTTCTGAGGCTAGCAGCTGAGCACGTTGACTGTTTGCACCACTCAGTGACTCACTCTGATTCCGCTTTAGTATATCATGAACCTCTGACCAAAAAGCAGCTAGGCTGAGGGAGAAGGAGAAGCAGAAGGAATTCTAGGTATTTAATTCTTGATTGCGCGGAGTTATCTGTAGACTGTGACCTTCAAAGCTGTTTCCTAACTGGGGCACAGAGACATATCAGCGTATGGGTACGGAGACAGCTGTTGTACCTAACAACACGTTCTGATGTTCCAAGCAGCTCTGACCGAGAAATACCTATTCTAGAGAAGAACCATATACACACGAGTGGGAAAAGACCTTTGTCATCGAGGAAAATGCCCAATTTTCAGGCAGGTACATGTGTCTGCCCGTTCTCCCTCCGTCTGGGAAGAGTCTGAGGATCGAGGCTCCACTCACACTCTGAAGCCATTTTGACTGAATCTTACTCAACCTAATAGGAGCCCTGGTGGTGCAGTGGTGAAGCGCTTGGCTGCTAACCAAAAGGTCAGCAGTTTGAACCCACCAGCCACTCCACAGGAGAAAGATATGGAAGGATGTGGCAGTTGGCTCCAGTTAACATGAAACCATTGCCTTCATAGCGACCCTACAGGACAGAGTAGAACTGCCCCCATAGAGTTGCCAAGGCTGTACTCTTTATGGAGCAGCCCTGGTGGTGCAATGGTTAATTGCTCAGCTGCTAACCGAAAAGTCTGCAGTTTGACCCACCAGCCGCTCTGCAGGAGGAAGATGTGGTGATCTGCCTCCATAAAGTTTACAGCCTTGGAAAGGCTACGGGGCAGTTCTCCTCTGTCCTGTAGGGTCGCTATGAGTTGGAATCAGTGGGTTTGGTTTTGTTTGTTTGTTTTTATTCAACCTTACTTCCTATCATTTTCCTGTCAGGATAACCGTGTCTCCTTCATCTGACTGCCTCTGGGAACTTTTAGTTCTGTCTCTTCCCCACTGTTTGCTGAGGGCATAATTAAGTGTTTAGTCCTGCTCCTTGTTCTCCATTAAAATCTCTCCTAGTTACCAAGCACCACTGTAACAGAAATACAAGTGGATGGCTTTAAAGAACAGAAACTTTCTTCCTCACAATTCTGGAGGCTAAAAGTCTAAATCAGGGTTTCGGCCATGGTAGTTCTTTCCTGTAGGTAGTCCCGGGCATTGCTGGTTCATCGGCTTGTAGACAATCCTCACGTGGTGTTTGTCTTCACCACCACCCCGGGGGGTGTGCGTATCTCTGTGTTTAATCTGCTCTTTATATAACTCAGAAGTGATTAGGTTTACCACTCCCGAAGTCCACCTTTCAGCCAAAGATTAGACAGGCCTATAAAACAAACGTGAGGAACGTGCTTCTTAGTTCAGTCAAGTCTACGAGACCAAATGGGCAGCACCTGCCCGAAAGCAAAGCCGAAAAGGCAGGAAGGGAGAGGAAAACTGGACGAATGGACACAGGGGTGGAAAGGGAAAGGGGCAGAGTGCTGACACATTGCGGGCATTGCGACCAATGTCACAGAACAATTTGTGTGTACATTTTTCAATGAGAAACTAATTTGTACTATAAACTTTCACCTAAAACACAATAAAATAAAAAGAAAAAAGAAGTAATTAGATCTAGAACCCACTCTACTTGGATGTGATCTAATTAACATAACAAAGAAAAACCTATTTCCAAATAGGATACACCCACAGATGCAGGGGTTACTTAGGATTCCAGCACATATTCGGGGGCGAGAGGCACAATTTAACCCATAGCAGGATCTTTTTTGAAAAGAGGTACTTCAGGGAACTGAATGACAACTCTGAGAGGAAGACTTGGAAAAGGACACCGCTAATCTGGGTGGCGCAAATGGTTAAACACTGGACTACTAGCTGAAAGGTCAGCAGTTCAAACCCTCCCAGAGGCACCTGGGAAGACAGGCCTGGCGATCTAATTCTCAAAAGATTGAAGCCTTGAAAACTCTATGGGGCCGTTCTGCTCTACACACATAGGGTCGCCATGAGTCAGAATTGACTTGTCAGCAGCTAACAACAACAAACTCCAGCAAGATTTCCATTTGAGGACAGAATCCAAGCAAAAGCGCATTCCAGCCCCACTGCCCTCTGAGCCACGGCTGAGTCTGTGTGCTGAGGCGTTACAAGCTGAGCATGATTGTTGGTTGCTTTCTCTGCTCAAATGCTGAAGAGTATGACTGCTGGAGCTGACAGCTTGGGTTCAAATCCTGGCTCCGTCACTTCCGAGCTGTGTGAGAGTGAGCAAATCGCCTCTTTTATCAGAGTCCCAGATACTCCCTCTGTAAAATAGAGATAATAATAGTACAGTCAGTTTTCATTATCATGGCTGTTATGTTCTTTAAAGTCACTGTGAACACCAGCTTAGCCAATACTGAGCCGTTGCCCCGAGAGGAAATGCCGGGTTATGTTCCTGCGACCCTTTAGTTACAACGTTCCATCAGCTGATCAAGACATAACCTTGTTTTATGTGTGTTTCTGTTTAAAGACACCTTATTTAATGTATAGTTGATTCATTGACGTTGAACTCACAGCTGTAACTCATGACTGAGTGAAGCTCATCTACGACACGTATTTTCCCCCTAAGGCACATCACAGCATTCTCGCGTTTGAGGACGCCAAACAGTACTTCAGGACTATGCTCGGGGGCCATTTTAAACAGTGAAATCATCAACAAAAAGCACAAAAATGCAAAAACGTGGCACTACATAGACTACAGAAAGCACATTTATGGCACGGGAGCTGAAACAAGAAGGCAGAGTGTCACCTTGTCCAACCTCAGCTGGGAACGCATGCATTAGGCAACTCACATTTTTTTTCCTGCTCTGTGCAGGTTTGCCAATGACTGGAAAAGCAACACAGGTTCCGATCTGGGGTTACAAATGAACTTTAGCAAGTAGGCGAATTTGGAAATATAGAATCCACAAATAATGAAACTTAGCTGTGCCTACCTTGTAGCGTTATTTTGATCATTGACTCCAAGTGAACCTCTCAGTGCTTGGAAAGTGGCCAGGAAATGCTTAGTGAAAAATTCACAGAGGGTTAGGAGAAGATGTCCTTGGTGTTGATTTGCATAAAAATCTCGTCTTGGAGCCATCGTGATAATCCTTACTCCATGTGACCCTGAGTGTTTGATAGTTCCTCATCTTCTCTTTGGCTGCTTTGGGTCAGCCCCCCACGTGGAAGGGATACAGGCGTTGTGTGTCTGCATACCTCACACTGTCCGGTTCTGTGCAGATGAGGCTTACAGACCGTTTAGGCTGACCAGGAGTCTCGTTCTTTTTCTTACTCAGGTGCTGGAGAGCTTCAAGATCATGGACTATAGCCTTCTGCTGGGAATCCACATCTTGGACCATTCTCTCAAAGACAAAGAGGAGGACACCTCACAAAATGTGCCTGATGCTAAGCGGCCAGCAATGCAGAAGGTCCTCTACTCAACAGCGATGGAATCCATCCAGGGTTCAGGGAAATCGGGAGATGGGATTATCACGGAGAACCCAGACACGTAAGTGCAACCATCACCCGCCTCACCCCCTTGACTGAGGCAACCCGTGTCCTTATACAGTTAAGTGCCGTTGTGTTCGCCTCACGGTTGCACTTGGGGACTAAATTCCTGCCTGGTGCAAAAATGGATTAAACCTCCATGTCTCTTCATCTATGCGGAACGAGATGAGTGGCAGTTTTCCAAGTTACTATTATCCTTTCCACTGATGCGATTTTTTTTTCCAATGGCTCCATTTTTTAACAATGGCTGAAGATGCTTTTACTCTCATTAACTGCATATTCAAAACATCCACCACAAGAGGGGGAATGAGCTTTGAAAGTGAATCAACATGTATTTAAGCAAGTACATGATAGGAATTATGTTCGCAACGCAGAGCTTTTTATCTGCACTGGGAAGATCCTGTTGTTCTAGTCCTGGACCCTGGCAGATGTGGTTCTTGCCTAAGCCAGACATAATAGGAACTGCGGGAACAGCTTGCATGTATAGAGTGCATATTCACTAACAGAAACAACTACAGCCAAAGACAAATCGCTGCTAGGAGCTGACAGCATCACACGTGTATAGTGGCTGAGCAAGCAGACTGAGAAAAAGAAATCATGTTCCTTGACCATAAGCGCCTGGCTTCCCGGATTCTCCAACAATGACTGTCTTACTTATATAAAGGGAGTTAGCACATAGTAAGTCTTTTTTAAGATACTTGCTTATAAATCCATCTAAATGTCTTGTAATCATTTAAACAAATTATTCTACATCAGCATGGGCAAATACTGCACAGCCATTCAAAATCATGTTAGCACTGTATTTGAAGAAATGCGTGTCAGTTTATAAAACATGATAAATATTCCCCTCCATATAAAATGTAGGTGTGTGTATATCTCTCTCTCACACGTACACAGAGGAATAATGTACCAAATGTTGATAGTGGTTATCTTCATATCCCAGAAATAGATTTTTTTTTCCTTTGTCCTTTTCTGTATTATATAAAAATGGTCACAGTGAATATGTATTACTTTTTTGTCAGAAAAAAAGTATCGCATTTTTTAAAAGCAATATTTTTAAATGTGTTCCAAGTCTTGCTTATGGTTTTAAAATAGGAATAATTATTAAATTGAGTTCTTTCCACTCCACTCTTTAGAGTTGACAGCTAAGATAATACTCTCCTCTGTGGGGAAGTATGTCATTCTTGATTCCCAGGAAGACTTTAACAGAAGGGAACCAAAAAAAAACAAAAAACCACCACCCAACTTCTGATCCTTCCAATGTCTGATCAAATATTTTCTCATTTGCTCCATCAATAGGATGGGAGGTATCCCAGCTAAAAGCCATAAAGGAGAAAAGCTGCTTTTATTTATGGGCATCATTGATATCCTGCAGTCATACAGGTAAAACATTTTGGGAAATGGTCCTCTGTTATTCCAAAATTAATCAACAAAAGATTCTGAAAATTCACCAAATGGGAGTGATTTTACCTTCTCACTTTTCATTCTCTGTCTGTTTGCATTTAGGTTAATGAAGAAGCTTGAACATTCCTGGAAAGCCCTTGTTTATGATGGGGTGAGTGACTTTTGTGTTCCTTGTTAAATGTGCATACTTCTGATTTCTCAGAGACTTTACAGTAACTGGGTCACTAGACTTCAAGGGAGGCAAGGAAGGACTTTATAATTTCAGACTCCTGGGCTAGCAGATGGGTTCAAGTCCCCTAAAACAACATAAATTTGAACAGCTATTCCAACAGACATCATCCAGCTGAGTGGCTAGGTAGAGGCGGGGGAAAACAAAATGATGCCTACTTCCACGTGGAAGCCGGAGGGCCTGCTAAGCTTTCTCCAGTTGTGAAACCATTTCTGGAAAAAGGAGGAAACAGGGAAGGACCGTTGAGATGAAGCTTTTGTGAGACTGAGCAGCAGAGTGGTTGGGGCCCTGACTTTGGTGGCAGACAGATCTAGATTTGAACCCTGAGTTCACCGTGTGTCACTAGCTGTGTGACCCAGGCATGTTACTGGTTACCTGGCCTCTCTACCCCTTCATTTATAACAGGGGCTATTGGTAGAACCTGCCTCACAGAGCTGATGTGAGGATTAAACCAAGAACGCATGTTGGTGTTCAGCACGATCCCTGCACATAATAAACACATAGGAAGGGAAAGCTTTTAAATTGTATGGATTTATACATGACTGGCCCTGGTGGCACAGTAGTTAAGAGTGTGGCTGCTAACCGAAAGTTCAGCAGTTGGAATCCACTAGCTGCTCCTTGGAAACCCTAGGGGGCAGGTCGGCAGCAGCAGGTTTTAGCGATGACTAGTGGTGCAGTGGTTAAACAGCTTCATGGGGAAAAAGACCCAGCGATCTGCTCTTGTAAAGATTACAGCCTAGGAAACCCTATGGGGCAGTTCCACTCTGTAACACATGGGTCGCTATGCGTCGGAATTGACTCGACAGCACCCAACAACGAAGCAATGACTGGACATCCCTGGATGGCACAGATGGTTAACGCGCTGGCTGCTAACCGGAAGGTTGGCAGTTCGAGTCCACCCAGAGGCGCCTCAGAAGAAACCCTGATGTCATAACATGGTTTATAAAGAAAATGTTCTGCCTTCTACCTTGGTGAGTAGCGTCTGGGGTCTTAAAAGCCTGTGAGCAGCCACCTAAGATACTCCACGGGTCTCACCCTTTCAGGAGCAAGGGAGAATGAAGAAAACAAGATACAAGGGAAAGATTAGTCCAAAGGACTGATGGACCACAACTACCACAGCCTCCACCAGACTGAGTCCAGCAGAACTAGATGGTGCCCGGCTACCACCGCTGACTACTCTGACCGGGATCACAACAGGGGGTCCTGGACAGAGCTGGAGAAAAATGTAGAACAAAATTCTAACTCACAAAAAAAGACCAGACTTACTGGCCTGGCAGAGACTGGAGAAACCCCAAGAGTATGGCCCCTGGACACCCTTTTAGTTCAGTAATGAAGTCACCCCTAAGGTTCACCCTTCAGCCAAAGATTAGACAGGCCCATAAAACAAAATGAGACTAATGGGGCACAGTAGCCCAGGACAAGGACTAGAAGGCAGGACGGGATAGGAAAGCTGGTAATAGGGGACAGAAGGTCGAGAAGGGAGAGTGTTGACATGTCGTGGGGTGGTCAACCAATGTCACAAAACAATATATGTACTGTTTAATGAAAAACTATTTGTTCTGTAAACCTTCATCTAAAGTACAGTAAAAAAAAATTTTTTTAAAAGACAAAGAAGAAAGGCCTGGTGGTCTACTTCCCAAAAAATCAGGCATTGAAAACCCAATGGAGCACAGTTCTGCTCTGACACGTGAGGTCGCCATGAGTTGGAGTCGATTCGATGGCATCTGGTTTTTTCACTGCTAATGATGACTGACATAAGGATGTTTTTCAGCCCCAGAATTGACATACCAGAAGAGAAAAATCAGTTATCAGAGAGCAGACTCTCTCTGTCTCTCTCTTCCCCTCACACACACACATTTCCACCTGGATATTAGAACTGAACTTCCTGCTGCTGACAGAACATTTATTTGCCCTCAATTAATAACTCAAAGTGGCCCTTTCAAAGAATATATTCGTCAAAGGTTGGGAGACATATTTGTTTATAAGCTGTTAACAGATGCTTTCCTTTGAAAGAGGATGAGTTATAGATGCTATTCTTCGCCTTTCTTGGAAAAGAAGATGAACTTTCTCAGTTCTGTGGAAGACTATTGATAAACCTTTCAGCATTGAAGACGTGCGTTTTGTCCACAGACTGAGGAGTGGCCTCAGTCAGAAGGCACTCTAAAACAATAAGGTCACAAATATGTTTCCAAGAATTTGCCTTAGGCTCACTCAGAGCCAACAGAGTTTCCGCGTATGAAAAGGTCAAGATGTGAGGCTCACATTATTTCCTTCCAGCTGAGAAAAGTAGGACCTACACAGCCAGCACCTTGCACTACCAGAGGGGGAGCGTAGACACCTCCTTTTAAAACTCTGCTAGACCAGTTGCCGTTGAGTTGATTGTGACTCCCGGGGACCCCATGTGTGTCTGTAGAAACTGTGCTCCATAGGGTTTTCAGTGGCTGGTTTTTTGGACGTAGATTGCCAGGACTTTCTTCTGAGGTGCCTCTGGGTGGACTCAAACTACCCACCTTTGGGACAGAGTAGAACTGCCCCACAGGGTTTCCAAAGAGCGGCTGGTGGATTCGAACTGGCAACCTTTTGCTTAGCAGCCGTAGCTTGCCGTAGCTCTTAACCGCTACACCACCAGGGCTCCAGGACTCTTAATTTCCTGTTACCAGATGGCATTTCTGATCTGAATAACCTTGTCCTATGTTAGTCAGATGCATCTAAGGAGTCCACACCATCAACTATTTAAAACATATATTCTGGGTTTTGGTGTTTTGTTTGGGAAAATCTCTGCACTGATTACATATTTGTGAAATTGTAAGCAACAATTAAGACTTATTTTTGTTTACAAATTGCCTCTATTTTAAACGTCTCTTCGTATTACAAAGAATAACACTTTGAAGGCCAGGGCTTTGTCCTCGTCATGCATGAACACATCTCAGTCCCTTGCATCCAAACAATATCTCTAAATTGCTGGACTACTTATGACAGGAGGTGCCAGAATCCTGGAAAAAGTGATTTTTGTCGTTGTTGTTGTTCGGTGCCGGCGAGTTGGTTCCGACTATGTACAACAGAATGAAACGCCGCCCGGTCCTGCACCATCCGCACAATCGTTGTTATGCTTGAGCCCAGTGTTGCGGCCACTGTGTCCGTCCATCTCATTGAGGGTCGTCCTCTTTTTCGCTGACCCTGAGTAATTTTTAGACCAGTGGTAAATATCCTCTGCCTCTAGAGCCTTGCCGGTAGTCTTGTCGTTGTTAGCTGCTGTTGAGCTGGCTCCGGCTCATGGCAACTTTATGTACAACAGAACAAAATGCCGCCCGGTTCTGCCCCATCGTCATGATTATTGGTATGGTTGAGCCCATTGTTGCAGACACTGTGTCAGTCCGTCTTATAGAGGGCTTCCCTGGTTTTCACTGACCCTCTACTTTACCAAACAGGATGTCCTCTTCTAGCGATTGGTCTTTCCTGATAACGTGTCCAAAGTAAGTGAGCCAAAGTCTCGCCATCCTGGCTTCTAAGGAGCATTCTGGTTCCATTTCTTCTGAGACTGATTTGTTCATTCTTCTGGAAGTCTAGAGAATCGTTATAAATGGCCAAAGAGGATTCCCACACACTGAGTACTCACAATATGCCAGTTACAGAATCCTAGCTGTGCCTCGTCTAACACCCTCATCTCACAGATGAAAAATGGAGACCCTTCTTGTTCCACACCACACAGCCTTTCAAAGCTAGAACTAACCCCAGAACCAGTTCAATGTGTGTTTTTTTCTTCCAAACCTGTCTTAGTTATCCGCTGCTGTAACAGAAATACCATAAGTAGGTGGCTTTAACAAATGGAAATTTATTCTTTCACAGTCTAGGAAGCTAAAAGTCCAGATTCAGGGCACCAGCTCCCAGGGAAGGCTTTCTGTCTCTGTTGGCTCTGTGGGAAGGTCCTTGTCATCAGTCTTCCCCTGGTCTAGGAGCTTCTCATCGCCGGGACCCCAAGTCCAAAGGACATGCTGCACTCCTGCTCTTCTTTCCTGGTGGCATGAGATCCCTGTCCTCTCTGCTCCCTTCTCTCTTTTAAATCTCAAAAGAGATTGACTCAAGATACAGCCTAATCCTGTAGATTGAATCCTGCCTCATTAACATAATTACCTCTAATCCTGCCTCACTAACATCATAGAGGTTAGGATTTACAACATATAGGATAATCACATCAGATCACAAAATGGTGGACAACCACACAATACAGGGATTCATGGCCTAACCAAGTCGATACACATTTTGGGGGGATACAATTCAATCTATAACAAAGCCCATTTATAGTATCTGAATTTAAATTTTTACTAATTTCCCTATTGGAATTCATAAACATGGATTCAAAACGGAGCATTGTGTACTCAAGTTTACTATTGCTAGAAATGTACTACTTGGGTATTAAATACATGATTACTGTTTTGATTTATATGGAAGAGCTTTTCTGCTGTCTCTCTCCTACCCCCCTCGAGGCTCCATTTCATCCCAAGTGTCTAGAATCTTTGTTCCAATCAAGTATGTACCCTATGCCCCCAGACCAACTCTTGAACCCCATGGGGCCCGGGCGTTGTTCTCTTCTGGCTCTGGGCGCCCACACCCTTTGGTTAAGGACACTGGGTAACAGAGAACTGATTCTTCTGAGTTGACGTGACCTCTCTGAGAAGTAAACCTGGGAAACTTGATTTGTCTTTTCAGGACACTGTTTCAGTTCACAGACCAAGTTTTTATGCAGACAGATTTCTAAAGTTTATGAATTCCAGAGTTTTCAAGAAAATTCAAGGTAAGATTTTTTATGAAGTTTTTTACTGTTAAACCATTTACTTGCTGACTTTACTATGTTTATCTTTGCAAGATTTTTATGGCAAGAATTGGAGCTATTTATTTCACTATAGTGGTTCTTACTTAATAATTATGGGTAAAATATTCTGGTCAGAGATTTATTGACGCTATAATCATTAGTATGGAGCCCTAGTGGCGCAGTGGTTAAGAGCTTGGCTGCTAACCAAAAAGTCGGCAGTTTGAATCCAACAGCCACTCCTTGGAAACCGTATGAGACAGTTCTACTCTGTCCTATAGGGTTGCTATGAGTCAATTGACTCAATGGCAACAAGTTTTATTATAGATATGATGTTATACATTATGTACTATTATATATATATTATATAATTTTTTTTTATATAAGACTGTTGATCTGCGTACTTAAATGCATAATAAAATTCTCATGGGACATATGAACCTGTTAGGGAATTACGTGGGATTTTATTCTCCTCTGTGTTGATGTTTATGAAATTTTCTACAACAGCTTTGTATTATTTACATACTCAGTTTTTTTTAACTATGTGAAAAAGGGTAATGTAACACTATTATTAGATAGCCACATATGTTGTTATTATATTATTAAACTATCTTGTTGGTCCATGTTCACTACCAAAAAATGATCCAATTTCCCAAACCAAAATAAACCACACACACACAGCTCTGAAAAAGAATATTTTATATAAGACAAATTTTCTCATAATATTTATTGGCGTTTTCTGCTAATAGAAGCCACACTTTCGATGTAAAAATGTGGCCAAGTACAAAAAGATGCAAAGGCAAACAGTGAAAGTTACTCAAAATCCCACAAGCCAGAGATTTCCACTGCTGATATTTTAATGTATTTCCTGTGCGTGTTTTTCTATACTTTGTGTGTATTTATAGAATGGGTACGATCGTGGTGTACAATTTTATATACATGCCCTCTATTTATCAGTTAAGAGGCCCTGGTGGTACAGTGGTTAAGCATTCGGCTGCTAACAGAAAGGTTGGCAGTTCAAACCCACCAGCTGCTCCTCGGAAGAAAGATGTGGCAGTCTGCTTCTGTAGAGATTTACAGCCTTGGAAACCCTGTGGGGCAGTTCTACTCTGTAACCCCATGAGTCAGAATTAATTCAGCATCGACCAACAACAATGTCTGATTTAATAGGAAACATCTGGAATTCCACATCTGCTCCTAAATTCAGCCTGTGGTGACATTGCTGGTCACGGAGTGTTTGGAAAACTCCATCATATACTCCTAAAAGAACGAGAGAGAAAAAGACGAATCGCCATTAATATTATTGTGAAAATAGTTTTGACCTTGCAGGCACGCTGAAAGAGCCTCAGAGACCCCCTGAGTGGTCCCTGAGCTGCATTTGAGGTCCTCTGGTTTAGACTTTTAAAGACTTCATTGAAACGCAATACTACATTGAAAGTCAAGGGTGTATGAAAGCTAGCAGATCGAATGTAGAGGCAGAAGCTAACGTGTGTGTCCAGCCTGCAAACCACGTGTGATCGCTGCTGGATAGAATGTGGAGTTAAGGAAAGCGTGCCTTATTTGGTCTACGTATTGATCATGAAAATCAGTTTTGATCAGCTTTTAAACATTCAAAATCTCCCTCCAGGAAAGACAAATGGTAGTTGTATCTTTTCTTCTGCTTACTTTAACCAGAAAGCAGAGTGCTAAAGAGCTAGGAAATCAACTACCAATGAGGCAACCTACAAACAAAAAGAAAGACACCCTAAGGAGCATGTTGGCACCACACTTTAGCATTCGGCTGCTCACGGAAAATTTGGAGGGAGAAAAACCTGGTACAGCCTAGCTAACCCTGCGGGACAGTTCTCCTCAGTCACATGGGGTCGCTGTGAACTGAACTCATAGCTGTCAACAACAACGACAAACTAGATTTGCCTATGCATTTTCCTATTCAATCCATTTCTGTATTTTATATGAGAAACGTATTAATGATAGCGACCCCATGTGACAGAGTAGAACTGCCCCATAGGGTTTTCTTGGCTATAATTTTACAGGAGCAGATCGCCAGGTCTTTTCTCCTATAAAGCAGCTGGGTGGGTTTGAGCCACCAAACCTTTCGGTAAGCAGCCAAGTGCTTAACCACTGTGCCACCAGGGCACCTTTGTTTATTATTAGGAATATATTATTATTATTATAAGACTGCATGGGGGACCCATAAACTGTCCCTTTTCTTTGAACTGAGAGATTGTTCTCTATTCTTTCTTCATCTGTGGGTCCCAAAGTCCTTCTTGAATTAAATTCTCGCAAGCTGCCGGCGAGTAGGGCCTAAGATGAACAATGTACTCTAAGCTCTGAGATTCCCAAGACTAAACACAATTACTCTAATGCATCTGCTGTTGGGTTACCCCTTTCTGCAAACATCCCAGCGAGGGGAAATGCTGCCAAGAGCAAGTTCCAGGAAAAACATCAACAAGCCTCATCTTCCCTCTCCCCCTGCCCTGCTAACACTGAGAAGCCAAGAAGAATGATTGCAGCAGATAGAGAATATAAATATGATGGTCCAGCTGCAGCTGGAGCAGCTCCTACTGACCTTCTAGTGGTAAAATCACAGCCTTCAGCGAGCAAGACTGATGGTCAAGTTCATTTCCAAGCTTGAGTTGCCCAACACACTTTTGTGTGTTGTGGAGGGCTGTTTGGACAACAGTCAGGAGTGAATTAGATGTCCAACATAACCATGACCTGCAAAAGACCCAAGGGGTAGAAAGTTTCAGTGGAAAGTCACTGAAAGGAAAAAGCAACCAGAAGTAGCTTGGCTAAATTGGGCGACGTGAGAATAAGATTAAACATTGGCATGTTTAGAAATTCCCATTCCCAGGTTAATAAAACTTAGGGTCATGAGAATTCTCCATATTGTACCGTCGGAGATTACCAGCCCACCCACCCTCCTCCGAGCACTCGAGAAACACTGGAGGAGAAGGAAAAGCAATTCTTTAGCTGGGGAACATTTGAGTTTCACCTCAAATAAGACTTTAATTTCAGAGTCTGCAGAGGCATTTCTACTCGAATTTATTCTGAGATAGTCTGATGTAAGTCAAGGCATTTTGGACAAATAAAATTACTAAAACACAGACAATTTTGCTATCTCCCTTTCCTCACATATGCAGTCTTTGAGAGGTGCAAATGATTAAACACTCGGCTGCTAACTGAAAGGTTGGAGGTTTGAGTCCACCCAGAGGTGCCTCGTAAGAAAGTCCTGGTGATCTACTTCTGAAAAATCAGCCATTGAAAACTCTATAGAGCACAGTTCTACTCTGACACGCATGGAGTCGCCATGAGCCAGGGTCAACTTGACAGCAATTTGTACTGTTCTTTAACTCATACAGATAAAATAATGCTTCTTGAATTCTACTCAAATAATGACCAAAATGTTAATAAATAGTAAATAAAATATTAATTTAATCAATAAAATATGAATGTGGACTGATTGTTTTGATCAAACATTCTATAGGAGAATCCTGATCAAAAGGGGAAAAGGTAGGACAGAGTTTGAAATTCTCAATGGAATCCATACTTTCTAGAGCCATTGAAGCTGGGTGAACCCCTAAAACTATTGCCCTGACATAATCTTTAAAATTTAAACCTTAAACCAAAACTATCCCCTGAAGTCTTCTTTGAACCAAACAAAAGTTTATCTTAGTAAGTAAAATATGTCTGCCTTGAGCATTGTGCCCTTTTAAAGAATGGTCTGTGTGAGATCAAACTGACAACAGCAACTCCAAAGGTTAGATGAGAGCTCAGGGGGCAGTGAGTCTAAGTCAATGGTGGTGGAATATTTGCACAACTTAAAGAATGTAATGAATACCACTGAGTTGTGCACGTAGAAATTGCTGAAATGGTGTATGGCTGTGTTTATTTTCACCAAAAGAAAAGAAAATATGAATGTGGTTTTCAATAAGAATCTTTGTCTCTCCTTTTTCGTTGTCTAGCTTTGAAGTCCTCGCCTTCTAAGAAACGGTGCAATTCCATCGCTGCCCTGAAGGCATCCTCACAGGAGATAGTGTCGTCCATCAGCCAGGAATGGAAGGACGAGAAGCGCGACTTGCTGACTGAAGGGCAGAGTTTTAGCAGCCTGGATGAAGAAGGTAAAGACAAGTAACTTAAAAAAAAAAAAAAGTTATCGTGATTTATTTATACAAGTAATGTAAATGAACAATAGAAAAATTAGAAAATACAACAATATCCAAAAAGAAAGAAATCTCCTATAATTCCACTACCTGAAGGTAACAAACATTCGGGGTGTTTTTACTCCTAGACCTTGTTCTGTGTGGGTATATATATGCGTATGTGTATACACACACATACATATATGTATACATACATATACATACACATGCATATACACACATGCAATGCAACAATGCGTTATCGCTTCAGCTCTTCAGGTCTTCTTTAATGAATTGAAATGAAACTTTATCATTTCCTCCTTGCTTGTCATGTATTTCTGTTAGATTGAGTCCTTGGGTGGATATAGAAATGTTGTTGTTAGCTGCTGTCAAGTTGGCCCCAACTCATGCACAACACACAGTGGAATGAAATGCTGCCTAATCCTGCACCATCCCCATGATGGGTTATGGATTGGACTGTTGTGATCCATAGGGGTTTCATTGGCTGCTTTTCAGAAGTAGATCACCAGGCCTTTCTTCCTAGTCCGTCTTAGTCCAGAAGCTCTGCTAAAACGTGTTCCGCATCATAATACACAAGCCTCCACTGACAGATGGGTGGTGGCTACACATGTGGTGCATCGGCCAGGAATTGAACCTGGCTCTCCCAATATAGAAATATACCTATGTTTGCCTGTTAAAATAGTATGTTTTTTAAGAATTGGGTTTTCTGATTGTTTGTTGCTACCACATAGACCTCACGTATGTTTTTCCTTTCTTTCTCTCTTATTTCCTGGCCAGGGCATTTAGTACACTGATGAATACAGGTGGTGATTGCAGATACACTCACCTTGTCCTCGTTTTAAAGGGAATGCTTCTAATGTTTCACTGCTGAGAAGGGGGTTTGCTGTATTTGATTTCCATAGTCAGGTTAAGGAACTTCCTTTTTCTTCCTCATTTGCTAAAAGATTTTATCAAGAATGAGTATTGAATTTTATCAGATACTTCTCTCTTTCTACTGAGTGGATCATATGGGTTTTCCCTTTTAATCTGATAAGGGGAAGTGACATTTTAGAATTTTCTACTTGTATATGCTTTTGAGGCTCTCCAGCATTTCCTGAACTTGTCTTCTGGTTCCTACAGGAGATCTTTTCTAGACGCTTTCTTCCCCTCGGTCTTTAGGATAGGCTGCTATCTCTGTTCCCTTCTGCAGTACTCATCTATATTGCCACGGTGGGTTTCTTTCTTTCTCATCGTCCAGGAAACCAACTTTTACCCAGAATTTGTGATTTCAACAAAAGAGTTAATGAATGGCCCTTGAGCCTGTCTCTGCCTGCTCATATGATGGCAGAGGTAAGTCAATGGCTCCCATTTTGTCAGACTTTCTCCCACCACCCCAGTCGTCCCTCCGTGGGCAACTCCCCTACCACCCACTCGGCTTTCTGATTATTGTTGTCGTTGTTAGCTACCTGCAGGTCGATCCCAACTCATGGCGACCCCATGTGTGCAGGGTAGAACTGCTCCATAGGGTTTGCAAGGTTGTGACCTTTTGGAGGCAGATTACCAGGCCTTACTTCCAAGGTGCCTCCAAGTGTGTTTGAACTGCCAACCTTTTAGTAGCACACGTAAACCTACAAGGTGCCTGTACAGTCTAGGAAATAGGATACCCTTATTTTTAAACCATGTGTTAGTTACATTTTTAAGTAATATGTTCATAGGCCTCTAAATTTAACAAAATGGTCCAATTGTTAATGGGGGGGTTGAGTATAATAAATATACTACATAGTATCCAAAAAGCTTAGAAACATGGAAAGTAGTGCAGGAATTGTAGTTTTTCCTGATGAACAATTGGACCCATGGCTCTGTATTTAGAGGTCCTTCACCTGAAAAGGTCTCTGAAGGTTGAAGAAAAAGCTATTGAGCAGCTCCTTTGAGAAGGTAACTAACATACTACTTAAAAGTGAGTTTAGTTCTCCACGTGTTCAAGGTTTGCAAAAGGATTGACCTTTTTATAGTGATCTGTTCTTGTGGTCTTTCCCTTTGATGGTGCGCCAGATTATTGCCAAATTTCTCCTCTACTTTTTAACCATTTGTTTTCTGGCGTTTTCAGTATTTCTTGGTTGCATTTGTTTTCTATTGCCATGTAACAAGTTACCACAAACGTAGTGGCTTTATGTAACATCCATTTCTTAGCTCACAGCTCTGTGGGTCAGAAGCCTGGCACTGTTTACCTGGGTTCTCTAGAAGCTCGGGATCTCAAAGGCTGAAATCAACGTGTTACCTGCGCTGAGTTCTCAGAGGTTCTAGAGAAGAATCCTGGTTCTAAAGTATAATGTCAAGAAGAACCTGGGATGATATTAAAAGACACATGTTGGCTCAAGCAGGGTGAGGGTGCCGCTGGCTGCTGGTCTGTGAAGCACTCGTTCCCTGGCTCTTGAAGGTTCCAGGTTCTTTGATCTAAACTGGAAATCCACGGAACATGCATGTTGTCGGGAAGAGACAGTCGGTCCACTGTGTCTCCACATTTGCCTGTCATCCTTTTCATCTCTGCTGAATCATGTCCTTAAGCTCCCAGGAGCTTTCTCGGTCATCTTTTGAAATAAGAAATCACCCTATTAGGCTTTTAAAAAAATATTCGTAACGTCATTTCCGTAAGCCATCTCGTGAATTAATACAATTTCCTTTCTGTCTCTAACCTGTTTTACATTTCTGCAAAGGTTCTGAAGTGCGCAGTTAATTCAACATTTAATTTGCAGCCTGTTATGTAAGATGAGTGTTTCTGGCGTGTGTAAGTTACCCTGGAGGCCAAAGGCGCATTTATGCTGAGACTCACAAGTGTGCGTGTTGCTTTTCTTGCCCAGCGCTAGGATCCCGACACCGGCCAGACCTGGTGCCCAGCACCCCGTCGCTGTTCGAAGCTGCTTCCTTGGCGACCACAATTTCATCCTCTTCCTTGTACACCGGTGAACATTATCCACACGACAGGCCTACGCTTTATTCAAACAGGTAACGCTTAGCGCGATCAGATTACCAGTCAGGTTGTTGCCACGTCAACCAGCTTCTCAGACTGAGAACATGCTGTCTCTAACAACGTGGATGTCCCGTCACCTGCCTCGTGCGTAAGAGCCAGAGGACATGCTTGATCTTTACTGTGGCAAGCAGTATGTTTGCGGCAACCCCTCGCAGTTTTCATTACAGTTCATCATTGTGCCGTATAGAAATTCTACCCTCGCTTCTGAGGAGGAAGACAAACTTCTTGGCATTTTTATTTTAGTAGTTTCCTATGAATGGATTATTTTTAAATGAGCATTATTTATTAATCTCACACCCATAGCTGCAAAGATATTTGAACCTTCTCTTTTCCTGTGAGTGGCCTTATTTACTGTTGGAGGCCCAATGATGTCCCCCCAGAGATGTCCACGTCCTGATCCCTGGAACGTGGGAACCTGTTACCTGACACAGCAGAAGCGACTTTGCAGATATGATTTAGTCACAGACCTAGAGATGTGGAAATTATCCTGGATTATTTGGGTGGGCCCCGGTGGCACTTCATTTAAGCGCTCGGCTGCTAATGTAAAGGTCGACGGTTCACACCTGCCGGTGGCTCTGCGAGAGAATGGCCCGGCAATCCGCTTTTGTAAAGATTACAGCCCGGAAAACCCTATGGGGCAGTTCTCTGTCACATGGGGTCACCATGAGTCAAAATTGACTCGACGGCACCTAACAACAACAATGTAACCACTAGAGTTTTTCAAAGAAGGAAGCAGGAAGGTTGAAGTCAGAGAAAGACATGTGATGGGGCGGCAGAGTTCAGAGAGAGAGAGAAAGAGAGATTGGAAGATGCTACACTGCTGGCTTTGAAGATGAAAGGGCCACGAACCAGGGAATGCAAGTGGCCTCTATACTACCATACCAGTCACCGTCAAGTCAGTTACAACTCATGGTGACCCCATGTGTGCAGAGTAGACCTGCCCCAGAGGGTTTTCAAGGCTGTGACCTTTCAGAAGCAGATTGCCAGGCCTCTCTTCCAAGGCACCTCTGGATGGCTTTGAACTGCCAACCTTTCGGCTAGTAGCCGAGCATTTAACCGTTTGCACCACACAGGGACTCTAGAAGCTGTAAAAAGCAAAGAAACAGATTCTCTTCTAGACCCTCCACAAAGGAACACAGCCCTGTCAGCAACTTGAGTTTAGGGCTTCTGACCTCCAGAACAGTAAGACAATAAATTTGTGTTGTTATAAGCTACGAAGTTTGTACTAATTTGTTACAGCAGCAATAGGAAACTAATACAGAGACTCTCAGACACTTAATGTGAATATAAGGATTGGGGTAGGTTCCTGGAACTTCTTAGGTATGAGGTATTTTTTCCTTTTTAAATGAAGTGTTCTCTAACTGGTGCTAGAAAGTATGATCTTTACAAAGAGATCACAACATTGTCTGTGGGATTAGTTCTGTCTTTATATATGCAGTGTTGTCACTAGCATGTGTAAATGGACAGGCGCTAATGTGTAGGCTGTCAATAATTATCTATTCAGTGTTGAACTGGTTCTTGTTAAAATCACATTTGTGCAGGTGCAGAGTTTCTACTGGGAGTCACCTTCCTCCTCCAGATTAGTAGCTTGGTTCACTTTCAGAAAGAGGACTCAATATGATGAATATTCATTTTTAATATATGCATATCTATCGATTCTAGCTTGGCCGATGGTGAGTTAAAAGTCTGGCTGTTGGACCTGTTGTAGTAACTCCTTTTTTTGTTACTGTTCCCTTTTCTCTCAGCTAGATACGAGATTAGGTAGGTAGCAGGTTAGGCAGCCACTCTAGGTCAAGAAAGGATGAAAATGGCAAGACAAACCACAAGTCTTCCCTGGGCCGCAGTTTGGATGACTCTGTCCAACAAGTTGGCCTCCATTATAAATTATTCAACTCGCCTGATCATAAAAATCACTTAACTTGGTTAAGGCGCCCTGGTGGCACAGCAGTTAAAGCATTCAATTGCTGATAGGTCAGCGGTTCAAAACCACCAGCAGCTCTGCAGGAGAACGATGTGGCAGTCTGCTTCCATAAAGATTTACAGCCTTAGAAAGCCTATGGGGTCACTAGGAGTCAGAACGGACTGAAGGCAGTGGGTTTTTGACTTGGTTAGCTTCACTGGTTAGAGAAAGTTTAAGTGATTTATCGTGTAAAATGTTCAAATTTGTTATGTAAACAAATTAGTCCAGCAGTGGTTTTTTTCTGTCCGTATGGCACAGCTGAACACGTCAGTCTCTGTAAAGTTCTTTTGCTCTCAAGTATAGGTAGCAGCTCAAGAGACAGCTGGCTTTGGACAAGGGTAGCGGTAACGGTGGTGTGACGTGAGAGATGTAATCTATGTTGTTGAGTTGTAAACGTGGAAGTTGTGTTGGTGGATGTTTTGGCATGTATGTTTTCACTACATTAAAAAAGAGAGAGAGAAAAAAAAGATAGCTGAACGGTCACGGGGAGCTCTTAGCAAAGTCAAAACAATCCTCGTTGAAGCCATGGTGGTTTCTTACGGTTTGCTAGTGTTCTAATTATCAGGAATTGTAACTGGATGCACTATGAAATTATTTACTGAAATATTCAGGATAGAAATAAAAGGGTTTGGGTTTTGGGTTTTTTCGGTTTCTTGTTGTTAAGTATCCAGTCTCTTGGCTGGAAGGTATTAAAGTCACGGATATCCATTAGGTTCCCCCAGGGTCTGGCACTGACGCCCCCTGACTCCCAGTCCCTCCTGGCCAGTTTGGGGGCTACCTCTGCCTGCTCCTAGGGCTGTGTTATAATTCTTGGTACTTTTGTTTATGTTGATGCTAGTATCATAAGAACCCCTGGTGGCACAACAGTTAAGCGCCCAGCTGCTAACTGAAAGGTTGGCAGTTCTGACCCACCAGCGGCTCCAACCCATCAGCAGCTGTGTGGGAGAAAAACCCGGTGATCTGCTGCTGTAAAGATTACAGCCTTGGAAAGCCTACGGGCAGTTCTACTCTGTCCTATAGGGCCACTATGAGGCAGAATTGACTCAACAGAACATGACAACAACAACTGGTATTATATATATTCAGACGGGGAAAAAAACATAATGTTACCTGTGGTATTTTTCCTTTTCCTTTTTGAAGACAACTGTTTTAAACAAACCTTCTTTCCCATTCTGTCTCCAAGTTGCAGTTTGATATCTTAAATTTATCATTCAGGGTTTTTTTTCAGGGACAGGAAACCACTCTATCTGAAGCAGAATGGGGTTCAGTGCAGGAACTGGGGGCTTATAAAGTCTTCGCGAAGCCGGGGGATTGGGCTTCAGGCTGGATCTCAAGAAGTTGATTCGGGAACACACCACCGGTCTGGCTCACCACCTGTGCTGCCGCCATGGCTTCAGCCAAGCAGGCTGCTTGCAGACAGGACGCCCCCTAGAGGAAAGCATTTGGGTTAACCCTGAATGTTTACCCAAAAAGCCAACATTTAAAAATCAAACAGTTTCATGAAAATAAAAAAAATTAGCAAAAACGAAGAAACAGTTGCCGTCAAGTGGATGTCAACTCAGGGTAACACCATGTGTGTTAGAGTAGAACTATGCTCTGTAGGGTTTTTGATGGCTGGTTTTTTGGAAGTAGATCGCCAGGCCTTTCTTCTGAGTCTCCTTTGGTTAGCCGCTGAGAGTGTTTACCATTTGCACCACACAGGGACTCTAGATTCTTTTAAAAGGTCAGTAGCATTGGCATGACTCGGCCGACATGTCCACCTGCATTTACCAGCTGAGGGGAGAGCGGGCCTCCAGGTCTCCTCAGTCTCTCCCTCATCTGTTGCCTGAGGCTCCTATAGGTATTTCTGCTCTAGCTTTGATGTAGAAGAGAAAGGAAGAGCTTAACCACCGCCTTAGGGAAATCATAAGGAAAAGAGACAGGAAATGCTGAAGAACCCCAACGGGAAATTGTGGCTGAGATCTCCGGAATCATTCTCCCCATTAATCGGGCCCTCGAGGCCCAGCCCAGGTTTCTGAGCAGAGAGAACTCGCCAGCAAACCCGAAAAGAAACTGCCTTCATTTTGTGTCCATCATTTTGACCCTTCAGCACCCTCCTAGTCCTACATGAGGCAATAAATAGATGGTATTCTAAGCCTTGTCTGGCCTACTGAGTTTTAAAACCCAATCCCAGTAGCCTGGAAAGAAAACTGAATATTGATGTTATCATTTGCATGTGAAATTTTTTGTCTCTCTCTTTATCTGTGAATTTCACTTTGCTGTTTTCCGGTTTGGACATTACGTTATACATGTCTGCACTAAAACAGCCTGTGAGTGACTGCTTCACCTAGCGCCCGTGATCCTGTCAGTCTCTGCAGAATCTTAACTTTGCGACTGTCGGTTAGCGCCGGGGTGACTCCACTCCTGAATTACACACTGAAGTGAGAAACTGCTGTCTCTCAGAATTGGTCTTTTTTTTTAAAGGACTATTCTTTGTAACTTTAAAACTCCTGTAGCAATCCACTCTTTATTTAAGTGCTCAGAAAATTGACTAGGCAGCAAAGGAAAAAAAAATAGTATCTTTTTTCTTATTCTGTTGAAAATTATAGAACAAAACGTACACCATCTCAACGATTTCTGCCCGTGCAGCTCAGTGACATTGATTACATTCTTCAAGCTGTGCAACCATTCTCTCTCTCTCTTTCCATATCCGTCCACCACCCTGAACGTGACCTCGGTGCAGTCTCCCTCTCTCCCTCCCTCCCTCCCCTAGTAATCACTAATAAGCTTGGGTTTCTATGTGTTTATTTCACATAAGTGAGATCATACAGTATTTGTCCTTCTGCGACTGACTTAGGTCACTCAGCATGCTGTTTTCGAGGTTCACCCATGTGGTGGGGTGGACCAGGACTTTATTCCTCTTTGTCGGTGAGTGATATTCCGTTGTGTGCATGTACCATGTTTTGTTTGTCCATCTGTCTGGTGGTGGACGTTTTGGTTGTCTCCACCTTTTGGCTATTGTGAACGGTGCTGCCA